CACGATTGCTATCAAAGATTGATTTATCAGACACCATTCCCTTCTCTGATGCATCAAGCATGACAGGTAAATCATTCAGGTAGTGCTGTGAATCACCATCCTCAACTGAAGCATCGTTGAGAACATTCTTGACGGAGTCTGATTTATGAGATACCACAACCTTCTCAAATGTCTCAAGCTTGTCATTCTCACACCTCAAAAGTAAATCATTTGGACAGAGCTGTGAATCACCAATTTCAATGGAAGCGTCATGTAATAAACTACCATTGGAGTTTGGTTCATCAGATACCGCAGCCTTCTCCAATGTCTCAAGTTTGCCATTCTCAGGCATCACAGGTAAATCTTTTGGACAGATCTGGAAAGCACTGCTGTCATCAGGAAACTTCGCTGGCTGTGAACTTGACAAACCAACGTTAACCTGTACATTCTTCTTGACCAATTGCCTTACTACTTTTCTCTTCTTTGCGGCCGTCTCCAAAGAAGCACTGGATGAAATAACAGAACTTCTTCCTTCATCTGATGGGTTGTCCTTTCCCGAACCCTCCAACATAGCCTCTCTAGATGCCACACCATTCCCACAGGAACCAGGCACAGAACTAGTGTTAGTCTTCGCAGTAGAAGAAGCTCCCACATTCTCTTTGGAAAGTTCAAGGTCCTTGCAAGGACTTGCTGCATTTTTCACAATTACAGAGTTCAATTTAATACCACCCTCGCTTGGCTTTGAACAGGATCTGTTCAAACTATGGTCTTTACCCCTAGCACCAGATTTGTTATCACCATAGTAACCAGAGGAATGTGTCTTGTGATTCTCCTTATTCTTGAACATAGGCTTCTGAATCCTAAGAAAAGCACTTTTCTTCGGTGTCTGCTTCTTTGGCGTATGATCAAACTCGTAACTACTTTCCCTGCACCCTTTGCTCTCCTCTCTATTAACCTTGCCATTATGCCAATCCGAGCCCGTACTTTCTTCTCTGCTGATGTAATGCTCACGTTTCCCTGAGCTTGTTCGAAGATGATCGCCATGAGTGAACTCCTCGTTCCCCATCACAACCATGGAGTGGGGAACATCTCTCCTAACTTCTCTATCATGTATCACCCTGTTGTTTTCACTCGCTCTGCCATGATCAGAAATCAAACCAAACCGTCTCTCATAATTCATTGAATCCGAGTCAAAACCTCTGGAATCTGAATTATGATGATGCAAGGCAACCATGTAATCCCTGGAAGACCGGTGTTGATCACGACTATGATGATATCCAGGATCATCACGTCCCAGGAAACCTTCCCCTCTCAAACTCTGCTCAGTCCTACCGTTCACATCTCCCAAAAATCTAGACTTGCCATCCAGCTCACGCCTAACCCTAACAGGGGAGTCATGATCCATATTTACCTCCCTACCGTATCTATCCTGCACGAAATCTGATCTTCCTCGACTATCAGACAAAACCCTAGGAGAATCTCTGAAATCTGGACGGCTATCTCGACCATAATGGTTGAACTCCGGCAATCGGCGAGGAGGAATATCGCTGTGACGGGACCCCGGATGCAAGGCCCGAGGGGGCTGAGGGAAGCTGGGATGCTGAGGGTACGATCTCGAATAGTAATCGTCGTGAACGGTGTGATTAGGGTTGACGACGTTGCTGGCGTGGATAGGGAATTGGGGATTTTGGGGATTGAACTGAGGTTGGGAGACAGGAGGAGGATACGACGGCGGAGGTGGGAGGTTGTAGAAACTAGGGTTGGCGGGAATGTGGTGAGGAGGCGGAGGAGGATGCGCAGGCGGCGGAGGGTGAGAAGCGGCATGGTGGGTGGAGTGATGATAGTAAAACGAACGAGGATCCATTGATGCTGCCGGTGAAGAAAAAAGGCGGCGGCGGTGGTCTTTTGATTTCTAATCGCCTCTTTGATTGACTATCTACACTGGCTCGCCAGGCTTATCTGCGAGAGGGGTGGATAGTGGCCGCCGTCGTCGCGGTGGTTCCGATGGCGGGTTGCGGTGGTGGTGGTCGTTTCGATTGAATTTTCTTTCTGTTGAGGATTAGAAATTGTGGCTGTTTAGCACGCGTGGGCTGGCTGGATACTGTCCACAATCATCGCCCGCGATTACTTCTCATATTTTCCCTGTGAGCCACATGTTGCCTTTACTTAGTGTGGGCTTAGACAACCCATGGGCCTCTGCAAAGATTTTTCACGGCCCGCTTTCTATATGTAATGAATTACATAGATTAGCTATGTCAATTGTCAAATCAAAATGAATATGTTTCTTTTTATGGTGAGATTTTTTTTTTTGAGAAAAATTAATATTTTCAGTGTAAAAGAAAAATTATCTTTTTATTATTAATTATTAAATTTGATTGGAAAAATTATGTATCAGAATTTAAGGATTAAACCCGTTTGATGATAGCCAAAGGTCACATAGTCTAGCGGTGAAATTTTTAGTAGATGCTTGTTCTGAGAAGTGACAGTGGCAGATCCTGTGTTCGACCCCTACCAAGGCATGCTATGGTATTCTCGGAGGCATTTAATGAAGATCCTCTGGAGTTTGTATGAAACGGTATTGCCAATCCTTTTGTGATTAATATCACCAATAGACTGTATTATATTATATTTGTGATTAGTTTGATTGAATAGAGTTTGTCACAATTACTATACTATTTTCAAAATTGCTACGATTTGTATGCATTTGATTTTTTTTCTTTCTTCGTATATTTGACTAAACAAACTGTTCATTTTTCACTCAATATGGTATACATGGTCTAGACCGTACCATACCAGACTTCACATACGTAATCTGATACGAATTGTGTAATATCCAGTCTGATCCTTGATTTATACTTCACCTTCTCAATTTAGACCATAAATTGTATGTATGATCCGAACTAAACCAGACCGTACCGTTTCTCGAACTCTAGCTCCCTTGTCTAATGTCTCATGCACGTGATACTTACTTTTCTCTCATTGTCAAGGAAACCAAAAGCCATTTGATTTGAAGCTCTACCACTCGTCTTTACATGGTCCTCTGTCTGAGCCTTCCGTAGTGATGATACATAAAGTGACAATGAATGATCATACAAAGCGTAATACCACAATGAGAGAGAGAGAGAGAGAGAGAGAGAGAGAGAGGACCATGTCAACTGTATTGGCTGCCTCAATAATGGAGGGAGGCAAGGCATTTGCCATAGGGCATGCATGTCTTAAACAAAAAGGGAGACTGTCGGTGGAAAGAAATGAAAGGGAAGGAAAGGGAAGGGGTTGTTGGCCATCCCTCCCACTTAGGTCTCCACTCTCAACCAGTGAAGTCACACTGAAGAAGAAATTAGTGGGCAAAATGGGAGGAGGCCCACTGGGCCAGCCATGTGGATGGATTGATTTAGGGCATGAAACATATGAAGAAAGGGAATCCAAACAAGACTAGGTCTAGGAGTAGGGTGGCTATACGGTCCGGTTAAATTGGACTAAATTGATCCGATCTCAGTCCGGTTTTTTCGAGAATATAAGGATCAAAGATTGGATTGGATATAGTTCGGTCTTGATTCGGTCCGGTCTTGATCCGATCCGGTCCCAATTTGATCTTGATTTTAGGTGTTGGGGTCTCTTATCCGGTCTTTATCCGGGTTTTTTACCTCAAATCTAAGCCCGAATATGAGATTGGATTGTTTGCTATCCAGTCTCATCCCAGTCCGATCCCGGTCCGGTTTCGGGTAAAACCAAACAGTTCGGAACCAAATAGCCAGCCCTATCTAGGAGTATTAGTAGTGGTGGGGTAATTGGTGGTAGACAGACAGTAGTAGCTTTGAAGTAAGGACAAGCCCTAAAATATGAAATGGCAATTGGGAGTTTGGGTCTATGATGGTCACTAAACTATAGATATCATTGAGATGGAAACGCATTAGTTATTTATCACCCAAGGTAGCCATTACAGGAGCAGGTTATACCCATTTTCACCTCCAAACACTTTCTGATTTGAAGGTGAAATACATTGATTCCTAGCACCAGGCTCGTTGTTAAGATCTCATTATCGTCGTTTTCAAAAAATAATATGATTTGTTGATTTGCATAAACTAAACGGTACATGTTCTGGACTGTAAATTATATGTCGCGCGTACACAAGCTGACGTGACATGACTTAGACGAGACCAGTGTATCGTTTATGACTTGATTTATTTTGGTATTATTTCAAGATATTTGGATGTGCTCTAGTCGGATTAGAATTCATATTAACTTTTGCTTGGGATAATTTAATGTTTCTGGTGAGTTAAGAAAAGGAACTGGATTTTGGAAAAGGAGAAGAGAGGCCGGCGACCTAGGACTATAGATGGTTAGAGATTGGTGGTGGTATTCCTATAAATGTGTACTTATTTTCAAGGTCAATGTCCGAAAAGATTGGAATCCAATTTAAGTTTTCTTCCTCTCCTCCTCTCTATATTTTTCTTCGCCTATTTATGTTATTTTCCCCTCAAGGCTCAAACTAAGAAATTCTCATCCAAGATCCATACATTACATCATCGTAATTGAACTAACCATTTCCTTAAGCTCGCAAATTCTCATTAAAGATCCAATACGTTACATTATCTTAATTGAACTAACGATCACATAGTATCTAATGATTTTACCTTTTCTTTAGTAGGAGGCCACTTGCCATTAAAAATCCCCTCCAAAAGCAGTATTATGCATGCTTAAAACTTTTGACCACCTCATAGCCACCCAAATTAATTTTGTCCTAATTTCTTTTTTTTTAATGAATATTTATCCTAATTTCTTAAGCAGCAGAGTCTACTAGAACAAAATAGTCATCAATCTGTATCTGATCTATATCTATAACCATGTCTTATTATCAAATTCACAAAACATTTCGTCATCAATATTGACAAAAGATCTTATCATATAGTTTACTTTATATTCTCCAACCCCATGGATTAGGACAAACACAATTGAAAGAGAAGAAAACAAGCCATGAGGTCATCAATGTTTATGAGTCATCAACTTGATCTTCTACACCACCACATTGAATTGAAACGAGCAAAACAAACAAGGTAGGAACAAAAAGATAAGAGGGAAACAAATGAAACAACAACCAACTCGTTGAAGAAAGGATCACCAAAGTTGTTTCTTATTACCTGTTTTTTACCCCCCACTTAGATATACTGCAATGAAGATCCATTTTGTGATCAACATCACCCTTACAAATAGAGATGGGTGCACATAGCCAAAAACCCACAGCTCTTGCAACAAAACAACAGAGAAGGAAGCTAAAAGGCTGGGCCCTTTGTCTCAAACAAATATTGAGAAAGGAGGGCCAAAAGCCATGAATCACACTCTCTACTGAAACTTGCCAATGGGGAAGGAGGAGGGGAACCACCACAAACAACCTCACATCCAACACCAGACAGACAAAATGAAAGAAAGAAAGAAAGAACACCCAGCTCATAAAAGGGGAGGGTGAAAGATATTTCACATATACATAGAGGTGAACGAATTCGGTTTTACCCGAGAGAACTCGGAGACCACCTCTTCTTCCTTCCACCATTTGGATGGTAGGAGTTCTGGTTAGTCGAAGCTGGACGAGCGACTCCACCTGCCTTGCAAGTACTCTTCTAATGATAAGCTTTGCTCTATGCTGCTCATTGAGAGTGAATCGTCGTCCACGTCGAGCAGTGCGAGGTTAAGGTGCGATTTGAGGTCAGAACGTGGGCTGGATCCTTCATCGAGAGAGTCGGAGTCCTCTGCAGCAATATTCACTTGCTGGTTCGCCCACTTTGTTACTTCGGGGTCGCCTTTCAAGAGCTTCGACACCTTTTTTGATCATCGAGCAACAAGGGGATATTAGATATCATACTCTAGACACTATAAGAGGCTTGCATTCCGGAGCATATTAGAGACTTACAATGCTCATAGGCGGCCTAGCTCGAGAGGCACGTCGAATGCAGAGGGTAGCAGCCAAGACCATCCTTTGAATCACATCAAGATCATAGTTGCTACCCAAACTTGGATCTAATAACTGGGTAACCTTGCCACCATGAAGAATCGGTTTTGCCTACAGAAGCAAATATTTTGAGGAAATGTAAGTTACTACAGCAAGACAAGGAACCCCGTACATGAAAGATTCCAAATGGTGCAAGGGGCATACCCAAATAACCAGGCTCTCTTGACCTTTTGGGTGATCATTGCTAATAGGCTTTCTTCCAGAAAGAAGCTCAAGGAGCACAACGCCAAATGCATACACATCGATCTTGTCGTTGACTTTGCCATACATGAAGTATTCAGGAGCCAAGTAACTGCAGCAAATCGTTTAAGTGGTCATTTTCATGACAGTTAAGTGCCAAACTATTAAATCAAAGCTTAAAAAGAACACGAATGCCACAGATAAGTCAATAGATGACGCCACATACCCGAAAGTTCCAGCGACATCAGTACAGACTATATGGGATGAAGTGGTTGATGCCCATTTAGCAAGTCCAAAATCAGACAACTGGAACCAAAACAGCAAGAGAAGTGAGCTTTAGCACTATATATTAGAGGGAAAGAAATAACCTTTCTTCCACTAGAGTAAGTTCAGTGCCCAAAATAATCACCTGAGGCTCAAAATCTTCAGACAATAGGATGTTTGAGGATTTCACATCTCTATGGATTACAGGTTGAGCACTGTGATTGTGGAGATAATCCAAGGCCTCAGCAACTCCTACAGCCACCCTATACCTCTCACCCCAACAGAATGCAATCCTGTCTTTCCTATTACCTGAACAAGCCGGAAGGAACAACAGGATTACAATCTATTCCCGAGATTCTTGAATTTGAAGCGAATAAATGTTAATATGAAGAAGAGATTGTTTAGTATATATACCATGAAGATTCTCTTCTAGGCTTCCCCTGGACAGCAAGTCATAAACCAAGAGGAGATGCTTGTCCTCAAAACAAAACCCAAGGAGAGAAATTATGTTCTTGTGATGCAAAGCAGTGATGATCTCAATTTCCAGAACAAACTCTTTCAACACATCTTCAGACGGCTTCAAGATTTTCACGGCGAGTTCCTGCCCATCTGGAAGGCAGCCTTTGTAAACCTGACTGCTCCCACCTCTACCAATCAAGTTCTCTGATCACACCAACAAAGAAAAACAGAAGCAAGGTTTAGTACACTATTGTGTCAAAATCAAACATCAAGAATTTACCCTGAGGGTTAATTTATCCACCACAGAACCAAACTTATCCACCTGGCAAGAAATTAGATGTGGCCGAGGCGAGTTCGAGGAACTTGAACAATCTGCAAGTTGCAGAGTATTTCTCATGAAGGCCCTCCAATTCTTTAGGCAAAGTGTTGAAGCTACGATCCGGAGAAGGCGAAGTCCCCCACGACTCAAAACCAACAGGAACAATTGCACCACTTTCTTCATCCAAACAAGAAGACTTATCACTATTACTATCTTTCTCACATTTATACTCCAAACTGGGAATCGATGAAGAGAGCTGCCTAGTGGGTAGCCTCAGTGCCCATTGAACCACAGAGATCTTCCTAACCGACGATCTGCCCACCGCGGAAGGTTTCTGATGATTTGACGATACCACATGACTGAGCAGTGGCCATCCAGGTTTTGATTCAGGCAATTGCTTCACCAACAAAGTAATTGAACTTGTAGTAGTGTCCTCCACCTTCGGCACAGCCACTATAGCCAAAGAGTCGTCGCCGCCTTCACCTTCATCTCCATTAGAGTCCTCAATACAAGGTCTATCAGAAGATGCTTTGGTTTCTGACCCACAAACCAGGCAACTATCTTTCATCACGACATTCTCCAGACTGTTATTACAACGAGCCTTCACCAAGGCCTGCTGCAAAGTCTGGCCACCATCATCTGACGCCAAATTGCCACCATTTTCGCTCATGATTTTGGAGTTCTTGTGCAAGGAGATTGACCTGTGGATCTTGTTGAGCAAGCCATGGCGGGGTTTCCTCCCACAATCTGTCCCTGCAGGAATCCCACAAGGCATTGAGTGCTTTTTGGACGGTGAATTTCGGTAGGATTTTGGAAGAGGGGAAACAAAAACCGAACCTTGTGAATCGACAAGAGAAGAGTGTCGCTCAAAGACCACTTTCCCATTATGGACTGCGAGAACAGAACAATCAGTGGCAGCAAGCTTCTTGGCGCAATATTTGGCCACGGAGGTCGGCGAGCGGACTGTGTAATTTGGGGCAGCTCCAAGTATGAGTTTTGTTGCTGTGTATGAATTTGCTTCTCGAACCAGTATTTTCCGAATTGATGATCCTCTGCAAATCTTTAGCTTCAGATCCACCTGGAACACGGATATCCACACAAACAAACAAAACCCTTCATCACTATTTTGACTGAGTAGTAAGCTCTAGGGCTATAATTAGCCATAAAAAAGGGAGATTACAGTTCGTGTGGAAACTGATCTTCCATATTTAGCTACAACAGTAAAAAAAAAAAAATTGCAACTTTACGGGGAAAACAGAACAAACTGAAGAAAACCCACCTGCTTCAAGTTGCAGAAGCCTTCATAGACGGCGAGAATGGAGTCAAAAGCTTTCACAAGGGAGAGAAGTGGCGACTTGCCTTCCCGATCCACAATTTCTGCAAATCAAAGAAACCCCATTTCAAGAGATCAACAGAGGATTGAAATGAACCCAAACAACCCACATGGGTAAAATTTCAAAAGACCAAAGCTTTAATTCGTCTGGACCTCTTTTTCCCCATCCTTTTCAGTGAACAAATTGACTCACTCACCATTACTGCCGAGGACATGGAGGGCAATGACGACATCCCCAGGCTCGGCAACTTTGACGAGAGCCCAAGTCAGTAGCTCCCTGCTCGGGGAGTCTAACTTCACTCCGACCAGCACTTTCCTTCCGCCGGCGCCGGCGCCGGAGCTGGGCACCATTTTCATTTGTTGCAGTACTCTGCTCAACTGATTTTGGGGGCAGGGGATTAATTGAGAATTAGGCTACGATAGAGAGAGAGAGAGGGGTCTGAATTTGTGAGGTTGAAGCAGTCCAGATAGAGCTGTGGCGATTATGATGGTGGGGTGGAGATGGAGTTCATGCTGCGCTTGCTGAATGAATGATATAAGAGAAGGAAAGGCGCGCGCAAGCTAGAGAGAGAGAGAGGCGGAGAGTAAGTTTTGGGATAGAGAGCCAACAGCAGCTGGTTGTTTGCTTTTCAAGGTCGCAAAACCTGCCTTAGAAAAGGAAAGGGGGCAGCGGACAGCGAAAGCAGGACGATGGAACAGATTAAATTTTATTATTTAATGTAAAAGTTTTTTTTTTTAGGAAAATAAAATTGAGAGGAGGATTTTTTTTTTTTTATTTGGTGGAGTGCACTGTAACACCCTAACCTGATAAGGTGCTACTTTTACCAAAATACCCTTGAAAAGTAATGAATATTAAAATGCTTTGAATAACAGCGGAAACCTCGTACATTTAACAATACTTAAAACATGAACAACCTTGAGATATTAGTTTTAATAAATCTTCATCGTAAAATCACATCAAGTCTCTCGTCCCACTAAAGTACTGAACTTAACTTCTTCCTTCTGGAGCGCTCTGGAGTCAATGATGAATTGCTGAATCCATATGCGTGCTTATGTGCTTCTATGATTCCTGAATGCGGGCGTTGGGGTCAGTCCTAATCCTAATTCCATTCTTGACATAATATAGAAAATGAAGCAAAATGCAAATGGTTGCAAATGTTCATGCATAAAATATTACTGGACTTGTAAATGATTTTCTTGAAATAGACATTCTTTACGAAAAGGGGGCCCCGAGCTCAACTTAACTAGCACGCCACAACGATCACCGACATACTTGAACATGATCTTATTACCCAGGAGTAGGGTTCGTAACCTCCTTATTACCCAGGAGTGGGGTTCGTAACCTCCTTTTTACCCAGGAGTAGGGTTCGTAACCTCCTTAATCATAACATGAGGTGACCGCGTGCGGCTAGCTAAGTGAGGGTTAAAACATGATCTTGCTTACTTACTGAACCTACTTGGTTGACATGATGATCATCCTCCGCTCAATGGGAGATCCAATCTTATGACTTGCTTAACTTATAAAATCGTACTTCTTTTAAAAGTAACTTGACTTGCTTAGTTAAAACATATGTATCCATGAAACATGATCATGCTATGCATACTTAAAACATAACTTGTATCGTCTTGTCTTAAAACATAACTTTGCGATGCAATGCCATGCCATGCTATGCTTAAGAAATGAACATAATTCATAAACTTGGAAATGGATCTCATGAACACATAGCTCAAGCATAAATAGCATTTAAAGACATATCAATTAATTCAAGCAACATGCAGTGTAAATAACTCAGAATGGAATACTAACTAATGCCCCCTCAAACCACGCACCTTATTTGGTCGAGCAGTTTAACTTGGTCTAGCCACCAACTCAAAGGATCAAAGCTCTAGAGGAGATGATTCGCCTTGTCGACCTATGGCGAATGCCGATGTTAGATTGGTTGGCTTTTGGATTCTTAGCGACGATTTTCTCGACGTGGGACTACTTTACAAGATGTGCAAAGTCTGATATACCGGCATACCCATCAATTTAATATATTAGAATCGTAACTGTAATTCTAATACTCTTATTCAAATTAAATCACCAAATAACTAATCATGATATAACAGCCTATATATGTAGTTTAACTTAAGATTCAATAAACATATTGTAATGTTATTTTACTAATAAATCCCATTACTAGCCTCTTAATCATATTATTATATATGGACCATAAGTCAAAGTCTAATAATTCAATAATTTCACCCCTTATACATTTAAATATCTATTTCAATTACCCAACTTTTTTTTTTTTGAAAGGTTTCAATTACCCAACTTACTTACACAATTTATCATACTCAAAAATTAAATAACTAACTCAATCATTTGCTCATTACTAATCTTATATACTTATTAACCTAATAGAATCATCTTAAACACGACAATTTCTTAATTATCTATTTAGTCAATAACAAATTACTCCTATCGACATGTACATAATTAACACACTAACTTAGCAAATTATAAGGTAAAGTATACAGCCCATTTAATGACTGTCACAGAAATTATCACTAAAATGGTCAGTGTCTTCCCTAAAGGGTCTGCTGCTTACTTTTGTTATTCAGCCTTTAGCAACCGTCACATTCTGTTGCAAAAAGGCCTGCAAATCCTGTCGCTAAATGTCTGTGTTTCCGTCGCTAATTTTCCAGGGTTGTACAAACTCATATTACTCGCATAAATGCCGATTTGCACTCGAGGGATCAGATATTCTTACCTTGTAGTCGTGCCTATACCTAGATTCAATTCGGCAGGACCTCCGTTTCTTTCTTAGATCGCACTTTGATCACTAGGAACCTCCGTCAGAGCTACGTCGTAGAAACGAACTTCGTTAGTTAACTATGTAGCTTTTGACCTTTACTTGAGCTGGGGATTTGTGGTTCTTACCTACTGATCAAGTGAGGAATTTATGGGACATGACTCATATATAGTGTGGCATCGTGCTTCTCTGGCGGCGATGATGAGTAGAGGTTGGCGGACGGAACGGCAGCCGGGAATGAGAGAACAAGTTGTATGCTAATGATGGAGGGTGAGATTTTGTGGTGGAGAGTCACTAATTAAGAGAAGCAGAGGAGATGAGATCATGATGGTATGCGATTGTGAAAAAGAAAGGAAGAGCTTGTCCTCTCTTATCTTAATGTGAGGGGAATGGGTTCAGTAGGGTAGTAGTTGTTGACGATTAAAGGAGGAGCGTTGGTGGAAATAAAGAAGAGAATGGTATGGGAGTGATGACAATGTCGGTGGTTGTTTGCATGTAAATTTTAGCTGGCTCCATAAATGATTGTGTGATTATTAATACAATTATGCTTGAGAGGGGTAATTAGGGAAACTCCAAATTGAGGCGGTTTGGGATGTTACATTTCCTCCCCACTTATAAAAATTTCGGCCCCGAAATTTATTGGTGACTGTAGCTTCTCACGTCTAGTCGTGTGAAATTGTTATCCATAATTATGAGCATTCGCATTTCCTGAACTAGTTTGACATAGCTTATCGCTTCTACCTAAATCAAGGTCCTCGCACTTATTCTTAAACCGTTCGTATCCTCTTAATTCGTATCTTGTCATTCCTTGACCACCTTGAACCACCGTCTTGATTTACCACTCCAGAACTATTAGAGAACGAGACTTGATGTTTTCAAAACTAATCTTGAATTCAATTGGCTAGTTGAAATTGCCAAAACCTTTTAAAAATCCTTGAAAACATAAAGATCGTTTTCCCAGTATTTCACTTAGATAGTGAAGACAGAGGGAAACCGGCTCTGATACCAAGCTGTAACACCCTAACCTGATAAGGTGCTACTTTTACCAAAATACCCTTGAAAAGTAATGAATATTAAAATGCTTTGAATAACAGCGGAAACCTCGTACATTTAACAATACTTAAAACATGAACAACCTTGAGATATTAGTTTTAATAAATCTTCATCGTAAAATCACATCAAGTCTCTCGTCCCACTAAAGTACTGAACTTAACTTCTTCCTTCTGGAGCGCTCTGGAGTCAATGATGAATTGCTGAATCCATATGCGTGCTTATGTGCTTCTATGATTCCTGAATGCGGGCGTTGGGGTCAGTCCTAATCCTAATTCCATTCTTGACATAATATAGAAAATGAAGCAAAATGCAAATGGTTGCAAATGTTCATGCATAAAATATTACTGGACTTGTAAATGATTTTCTTGAAATAGACATTCTTTACGAAAAGGGGGCCCCGAGCTCAACTTAACTAGCACGCCACAACGATCACCGACATACTTGAACATGATCTTATTACCCAGGAGTAGGGTTCGTAACCTCCTTATTACCCAGGAGTGGGGTTCGTAACCTCCTTTTTACCCAGGAGTAGGGTTCGTAACCTCCTTAATCATAACATGAGGTGACCGCGTGCGGCTAGCTAAGTGAGGGTTAAAACATGATCTTGCTTACTTACTGAACCTACTTGGTTGACATGATGATCATCCTCCGCTCAATGGGAGATCCAATCTTATGACTTGCTTAACTTATAAAATCGTACTTCTTTTAAAAGTAACTTGACTTGCTTAGTTAAAACATATGTATCCATGAAACATGATCATGCTATGCATACTTAAAACATAACTTGTATCGTCTTGTCTTAAAACATAACTTTGCGATGCAATGCCATGCCATGCTATGCTTAAGAAATGAACATAATTCATAAACTTGGAAATGGATCTCATGAACACATAGCTCAAGCATAAATAGCATTTAAAGACATATCAATTAATTCAAGCAACATGCAGTGTAAATAACTCAGAATGGAATACTAACTAATGCCCCCTCAAACCACGCACCTTATTTGGTCGAGCAGTTTAACTTGGTCTAGCCACCAACTCAAAGGATCAAAGCTCTAGAGGAGATGATTCGCCTTGTCGACCTATGGCGAATGCCGATGTTAGATTGGTTGGCTTTTGGATTCTTAGCGACGATTTTCTCGACGTGGGACTACTTTACAAGATGTGCAAAGTCTGATATACCGGCATACCCATCAATTTAATATATTAGAATCGTAACTGTAATTCTAATACTCTTATTCAAATTAAATCACCAAATAACTAATCATGATATAACAGCCTATATATGTAGTTTAACTTAAGATTCAATAAACATATTGTAATGTTATTTTACTAATAAATCCCATTACTAGCCTCTTAATCATATTATTATATATGGACCATAAGTCAAAGTCTAATAATTCAATAATTTCACCCCTTATACATTTAAATATCTATTTCAATTACCCAACTTTTTTTTTTTGAAAGGTTTCAATTACCCAACTTACTTACACAATTTATCATACTCAAAAATTAAATAACTAACTCAATCATTTGCTCATTACTAATCTTATATACTTATTAACCTAATAGAATCATCTTAAACACGACAATTTCTTAATTATCTATTTAGTCAATAACAAATTACTCCTATCGACATGTACATAATTAACACACTAACTTAGCAAATTATAAGGTAAAGTATACAGCCCATTTAATGACTGTCACAGAAATTATCACTAAAATGGTCAGTGTCTTCCCTAAAGGGTCTGCTGCTTACTTTTGTTATT